CCCCTTTGTCACATTTTCCTCTACTCAACTTCAAGGATGAGTCCAATTTCCACTTTTTTTTTCCATATCGTTTTAGTTCAAAATGGCGGGAGAAACGAGCGAAACTTTTTCCCGGATTATCTGGATACCGCATAAATGGTTCTCTACTGTATGCATAAAAAAAGAGTTGCAGATTTAGCTCTTCGCAATTAAGTCTTGCTAAAGTCATTGGTACATGATTTTTTGAAATTGGTTGCATACTTCTGTTTCGACTTAGACATCCTTGAAAAAAAAAATTTTAATATACGAAGACTAAGCGAATAATGGATATCACGTTGCTAGTTTACAAGTTTGTTGCCAACCGAGTTTCCCCACTCCTGTACGGACGTCACTCGATATCGTCATGTGACGTCATCGCATTCAACTCCACACGAAGATTCCTACGAATCCCAGTGTAAGGGGGCGGGTGAAATAGGAGTGTTAAAGAGGGGTAACGTTGAAGAGGAGGGAAAAATAAAGCACGTGCAGCTACGCCTCAGGCAGATGGTAGTTCGATAAGAGGGGATGGAATTCACCCTGAAAGAAAAACAAAACTTGCGCAATCGCGGAAAAATTAGGTAATTGTGAGTCTGGCCGTCGATTGCAGGAAAATTCGGTAGTTTTTTTTAATTAATTCTGGAGGGCGGGAGAATAACTCAAAATTCGGGAGACTCCCGCAAAATACGGGAGAGTTGGCACGTCTGGTTATTTGCGCGATCATTTTTAGAAAATATAACATTAATATCTTTCTTAAGAAAAACATATACATCAAATTCCTAAATAGATTTAAATCAATCTGAGTATGAAGTTTTGAGAGAAATCTGACTTTCTGCGCCTTACAAGTAAATGAATTTAAAAAAAACTATATCACAATACATCGCTATAACGCGATGCAAAACTGACGATGCATCACGACAAAAAATTTCTTATATCACCCAGTCCTAGTATTGAGATTTTTAATCAATTAGATAAAATTAAAAAAAATTTAATTTTATTCTAGAATTCGTAAAATTGTATAACTTAAAGCATATAGGTATTCTAGTTCACAGAAGAACTTCTTTAACACAGTGTCCATTCTGCATCAATCAAATGCTAAAATTTCATTTTCAAAGCTTTAAAACATAAGATTAAAGAAATAAAATAAAAATTGGTACAAAAATGATTGTAAAATTTAAAAAAAAAAAAAAAAAATATTTATTTAAAGCAAAAAAATACACAGATTTTTTTAGTATTTGATTTTTTATTTTTGTGCCACTAATGTTCTAAAACCCATAGAATTACTCAAGCACATAATTGTGAAAGCATTAACAGTCAAAAGATAACATTTAATTAAGATTAGTTAATCTTACAATCTGTACACAAAATTCAAATAATAAAAACATAAAGTGAAGAATAATAATTACATAAAGCAAAATAAACTAATACAAACCTGAGCAGCTATCTTTCCTTTTCCCATCTTTAAACCATTTTGAACAACTAGAACTAATTTATAATCGCCAAAAGCAAAGTCAGAAAAACTCTAGAAGCAAACAAAAAATTAATTTAAAAAAGGAGGCAATAAAAACAATAATATTAATAGCAACAAATTACAGGTCAGGTCCATCTCTTATACCCGAAGAAATAAACTCAGAAATCCTAATCATTAAACCTGCACTGGATAATAAAGTCTAGAAATTCAGAGGCAATAGGAAGAAAACAGTTTATTTTAATGTAAGCTTCTACTAAGTTTTCAAATTATGTTAAAAAGAAAAAATTAAATATCAATCTTAAAGTGGATGACATTCACCCTTTCTTGCAATTACATTGGTAGATGTTCAAAGTTTGAAAAAAAGTGGGAACATTTCTGTATCATGATCTGTTGGCACCAACTACAACTGCTAAATAGATTTTAAACTTTCAATTGCAATTTTTTAAAAAGAGGTTTGCTTGGAGGTAGGTATGAGTCATACCCCTCAAGTTTGACCCTTTCTGTTTCCGTAAAAAAAAAAAATTTAGTTTCGAACAACCCACAGTAGTCAAGACTAAGCAATTACTCAGCCGCATATCACAATACGGAAATCTTCCCAAAATACTTTGAGGAAAAATAACAGCATCAATGCACAGAGGGATACGAAATCAAACATCTCTACACTATAGAGATAAAATAAAAGTCTTCATAAAATTATACTATGTCACAAAAAAGAAAATCTCTGAAAATATACCTAAAATTTTTTCCAAATTTCATATCTACTCAGTACATTACGAATATTTAGTTAATACACGCAGGACTACAAAATTTAATAACACGAATTACAGAAGAATAGCATTTTATAACATAAACTATACTACCTGTTCACTTGCTTTATTGTCATTATCCATTGTTGAAATTTCAGGAGATGATTTCCGAGATATTAAATACTTCACGACATATCCACAAAGAAACCCGCAGCCGAGAGCAGCTAAATTAGTGCTTAATACATTGGACAGATTGACACCAGTTGATGACATGCTTGAATAACCTGATGCAATGAGTACAAAGTTCATTAAATATTACACAATATTTATACTAAATATATCATAGCTTTACTGCAAATAAATTAAACACATTACAGAATTACTTTGATAAGAAAATTATGCACTTTTAAAATCCAGCAAGAAAGAAAAGTAAATATTAAATTTTATATACTTTACGGTTATTAATTTTTCTGACAATTTCTACGAGCGTTACTGGCTTTCTATTTTCGTATTATTTTGGATTAGTATTTGCAAATGTATTAGTTTTTTTCTCACGGATGTTTTTAATTAAATGGTTCGTATAATTTGCGAATAATAAATGTACGAATAATAAATTTTATCAATTTTTGCAAAAATAATTTAAACTAGCATTTAAATTTTTTATGCCACTAGTATTTTTGTGGCTTTGTTTATAGCACGTAGTTTCTAAAAGTCATGTAACTGTATTTGCGAAATACATGTTGATGTTTTTTTTTTTAATTATTACGCAGTCCTAATTTTACAAAATGGCCGATGTTCAAAGACCTCCAGATGGTTAGAGAAATTTGATTTCATTTATGACAATAATTTAAATAATTTGTAGCGCTTTTTTCATTTATTTACAATTGCTTTTATGCAGCAAACTTGAAACCATTTAGAATTGCAATATATTTATAATTATTGTTCCTTGCTCCAATAAGCACAAACGAATAATTTGTCTTAATATTTTGATTACATTTGTTAAAAAAAAGTTCATCATGTTTTTGTTGTTTAATTTAATAAGTGTTTTTCTTTTTCAAAAGCACATATAGTACAATCTAACACTTAGTTTATAACTGAGATCGAGTCTAGGCATAGTTATTGTATATGTTACTCATTTCAATTTATCACATTCTGCGACATGTTTCGCACTAAACACAACTTAATTAATATTTACCACGTTCTTAACACTGTTACAAAATCAGAATTTCCTAGGTATTTGCCATAATGATTAAAACCATTGTTTTTACCGTCCTGTCCAAATTTGTTTTGCCAAAACTCTTCCATTTACAGCTAGGGGAATATGTGATCTATCGTGCCATCAGCAATTGCCATATAGATTTTAAACTTGAGTAGTTGGGGGAAAAAACATGTAGAGGTTTGCTCCTGAGTAGCTACTAGTATCCCTTGCAGTTGGTCCCTTTCTATAACAAAATTCTGTAAATTTTTCAGTTTCTTTGCTGGCCACTGTTCAGAAGTCGCCGAGACTTGGCAACTATTTTGATATAGATCATGATACCAAAATGTCAATATTCTGCAAATGAATTTTGAACTTGAATATTAAAAAAAAGGTGGTTTGCTTGGAGTCGACTCTATAGTCTGTTCAACGAGAACTGATAGCGAAAGTAAACAAAGCGGCGTGCTATTTGGCGCAATACAGCTGTCTACTTGGCGCCGGAATTATGACAAATAGCGCCTATCAGACAAGCAAAAACTCTTATTTTTAGATGGTTGTTTGTATCGCCGTGGTGTCTTTTTGCAGGTGTTTCATGAGTAATATGGAAAATAAAGCGATGGATTTAAGTCCTCCTAAAGAACGACAGAAGAAATCTTACATAAGTAAAGTTGAGAAAGAAATAATATTAAACATTTATAAAACAGAAGTGCATTCAAAACCAGATGTTCCAATTATTGATGTGGCTGACCATGCGGCTTCTGCAGCGGGAGTTAGCACAGCTTCTGTTTTTAGAATTATCAAAGAATATAAAAAGGATGGTATATTACATTCCCCGAAGAGGGCTAAACCTCGTAAACCTTTTTTGGATGACATTGACGATTTCGACAAAAATGCTCTAAGAAGAAAAGTTCATGATTTTATTCCCTGTTAAAAAAAATTAGGCTTCAAACATCAAAAACGAGGACGGAACAGCTCACTCATTGAAAAAGAAGAAATAATTTTGTGGCGGCGAAGACATTTAAGAACAATTAACAAAATGAGACAAGAAGGAAGAAAAATTTATTACATGGATGAGACATGGTTGAATGCTGGACACACGCAAGACAAAGTGTGGAATGATACTTCCATTATCTCGTCAAAACAGGCATTTTTATCTGGTCTTTCTACAGGATTAAAATTGCCTTCTGGCAAAGGTGAGAGACTTAATATTACGCATATTGGTAGCGACGCGGATTGGCACAATGGTAGCTTAACAAAAGATTTCGTGAGACATGTAAAAAAGTTCCAAGTTTCTTTTAGTGTAATTATTTTCGTAATACTTCCGTTAGAAAAATAAGGATAATTAACAACTTAAAAATACAAATAAATGCAGTTCCTTCTAATATATTTTTAAATCAATCGGTGAAACATAAAACTATTTTAAATATTATTTAACTTCTAATAAATTTTTAAAAAAAATTGTAATTGTGAAAATAAAAGAGTTTTTTTTTTAACATAACTTTCAATTCTATACGACTTTTACGATGAAATTATAAAAGTTATGTTTTTCATAGATATTTATGTAAAATATATTAAAACTAATTTAATCAAAACTTAAAGAAATATAGATAAATTAAAACTATTCTTAAAATAAAATTATGTGTTTACTGAAACACTTAGAAACGTATTTTCATGAAAATATTTTAATTTTGCATTTTCTTATCTAATTTTAAGGTATCAAAAACCAAACATCGTTTTTGTTTTTCTATAAAAGCGAAAGCTCTGTCGATTCAAATGAAATCGCCCATTCAGCGAAGTGGCAAACGTTGCCGATCAAACAGCAACCCTTTTGTTTACTTCCACTCTCAGTTCTCGTTGAACGGACTATAGTACNTTTTTTTTTTTTTTTTTTTTAGTCTTTCATTGGCCATTGCTGTTAAGTCGCCAAGACTTGGCAATTATTTTGGCTTTATGATATGGAATTTTATATACAATCGTCAAATGGATTTTTAACTTTATTAATAAAAATATGTAGTGGTTTGTTTGGGGATGGCTACAAGTTGTACTGCTTGAGTTTATACGCTTCTGTTAATATCTTTAGTTTCTTGCTGACGACCAGTGTCTGGAAATTGCCTAGATATGGCAATTATTTTGGGGCAGATAATGATACAGAAATATACCCTTAATAATTTATTTATTACTTCATGTCCATGGAATCCATGTTTTTAAAATACAATTATTTAAAAAAAATTCATTTAAATTGAAAATAGTTGGTTTCATGCATTTTTAATTTAAAATCTCCTTACTTAGTATTTTCAGAAAACTATAATGCGAAAAAATTTCAAAAATATTCGTAAAAATATTATTTCATATCTTGACTCGATCTACAAAAAAATCTACAGTTTTTTATTTTTTTTGATAATAAAGTCTGAAAATATCAGTTATTAAACATTTTTAATTTTCTTCAATAGGTGGGGATGTACCCCTTACCGCCTCAGCAGGCATTTATATGGATGAAGATATTTATGGTGGAACCAAGTCTAAATATGAAGGATACGTTACCTCCATAGCGGCAAACGATGAAGCTGATGTTGATGTAAGTATGTTTTAAAATAGACCTAATTAATCAGAAGCAGGGTTTGTTGATTTAAATCAAATGATTTTTTTAAAAAAATCATTGATTTAAATCAACTGATTTTTTTTTATACATATTGATTTTTAAAAAACAGTGTTTCAATTATTGATACTTTTATTATTTTCTTTTCTTAGTTTTAAAGTTTATTTTAAATAAATTGCTCCATTAATTAATTTCAGTTAACGAAATTACTTTCTTTTTTGATGTGTGTTAAATTCCAACACATTTGAAATGACATTTTTAAAAATCTATTGATTCTTGAGATTGAAAGTACAGATTAAAGTAAACATTTAATGCTGTCTTAATATAGACTTGCATAGCTGTAGAAAGTAATTAATAAACATGAATTTTTTTCGAGAAAAAAATTGCAAATAATGTTAATTAAAATTCTACCTTTTGATTGAAAAAGCATAGAATTAAAATCTACAATATATTTTATTGATGTAGGATTAAAAATGAATATTTTAATATAAAAATATATAGTTTAAATATGTATTTATTTTTTTATGAATGACTCTACATTTATAAACATAATCTGTTACATTTATTTTGTCATTTTAAAAATCAAGTGGAAAAAAAAGAAATCACAATTTTAAATTAAGATTGTGGTTTGCTAATTGAAACTTTGCTTTAATAATTGAAGTACAGGGGTCTGTCCAAGCCAAATTTACTACCGTTTAGCGGTACCTTGTCAAATTCAACTTTAGGAAAAACTGTTGAATAATTTCACAAAATATTTTTTTCTTAACATTTTATTTTTGTGTCTCGTAAGAAACGATAAATCCATATTTTTACAATATTTTTGTGTTGATTTTTTAATTTAATTTTTTATTTTCACAAATTATGTCTAAATTTTCACAAGATAGATGCCTAAACCTAAACAGACCCCTGAAGTACTCTTTAAATTCTCTATTTCATCTAGTCTTTAAATTTCAATCATGCATTTGTTCTAAAATGGTTGCGATGCAATCAAAGCTATGTATTATAACGAAAAATTATTTTAGTCAGTTAGAGCTCCTAAAATATTGTTATAATATAGTTTTAATGTTAATTTAATTTTGACTAAACATTTATAAAGTATTTTTAATCATAAGTTAAATTTCTTACAGTGTATTTGAAAAAAAAATCTGTTTTAAATAAAAAAAATCACGAAACCTATTCAGAAGGTGTCGTTGCATTGAAAGATCAGAAATAGGAGTTTTTACATTTCAGAGAGCCTTAAAAACATATTTCCACCGTACTTATATTAGTTTCCTATCACCACAATTTAGAATAACTGACGTTAATAATAATTTTACTACTTTTTAATGGCTTCAGAAAAGAATAAGTATTGATTAATTTTATGAGACACACCTCAGTAGTTATATTTATTTTACATTTAAAGTTTTTTTTATAGACAGTAACATTGTTTTAACTGTTTTTTTTTTTTTTTAATAATTTGAATTAAACTTTGAAATGTTGGTGTCACTTTATTAAAATAATTATATGTATTAATTATTGTTTTATTTTTTATAGGATGAGGATTATGATGCCACAAGTTTAATGAACAGTAAGAAGAGTGGTTTTACTGCACCAGTTGCATTTTTACAGGAATTAAGAGGAGACAGAGTAATTTAATTTTTATAATTATCTGCGTGTATTTTTGTAAGCTATAACATTGTTTCGATAATATTTTACACTCACTCTATCTGAAAAGTTTTATATAAGTTGCCAAAGGAATATTGGAAAAGTTCTATACAAGATTACTATTTGAAGCATTTAGGAATGTAAAAATCTTATTTACTTTTGCATTTTAAGTTATTGCTGATGTATGTTGCTTTGTGTATCTCATTTTAATATGCACTTAGTCTTTTGACTATAGACTTTTATGTGGAGGAATAATTATACTTTTTTTTTTTTAACTGCGTGAAAGGTTAAGTGTAGAGATCCAGATCAACCCATTCTTCCTACATATATTTGTCATGCTTCCTACTTTTGAGATTAAGGGCAGTCTAAATGTTTATTAGCGAAAGATATTTTTCTTCTAAAACATACTTTTTTTCTAATATTAAAGAATTATTTAGAATATTATGCAAAACTTTAATAACAGGCTCAGAGCTGTAGAGTCTGTAGGGAAAATGACCAACTTCAAGAATTATATATTTAAAAACTTTGACCTCATATATATGTAAATATATACACATGTTTTACAGCTTTTTTTTTTTTTTTTTTTTAAATGTAAGAGATTTAATACATGCTGCAGAAGAAATTTTTGGCATAGCAAATTAGTTATGTTAATTAGCATTTAACTGGAATTAAGTGATTTCTTAGAAACAGTTTAACTTAGGCAAGATCTTCTTTGATGGAAGGCCATAGATCCAATTTAATAAACTTATGAGCCGAGAATAATCTTTCCTCACTTACTTAAGTAGGTGCACCAGAGTTGTTACTGTTGGGGCTACTTCTTTCTTTTAACTTTTCTAGATAGATATGTATAAGTTCTAAAATAGGTGGGCTGTGCAGAAGTTTCAGATATAAAATTTATATCTAAAGACTAATAATGAGTCAAGATAATAAGTTTAATAATAAGACTCTAAAAACAATAAGTTGGTTCGTCAATTAAGTTCTTTTTTAAAATTCATTTTAATTTTATTTCAAATTCTAACTGTCCAACAAAAACTAAGTCAATGTGGTTTAACAACCTGAGCTCAGACTCCTTCATTCAAAAATCTGCTTAACTTCCGATTCCATAGCCCTGATTAGGTTTCTGAAGGATAATAAAAATTTATACATATGATTTCATATTAATAATTTTGAAATTATACCAAATTTGAAAAGGAATTATAATGCATTCTAATTAAAATATTTAATTACTGATATACCAAAATGTGTTTTTGCAAAAATAATGTTCTTTATGATTTTATTTTAATTATAAAACTCAAAAAAAATTAAAAAATTGTTTTTAGAACATGCAAAATACACTTAATAAGTTTGTAGTTTATGTTCCATTTGAAATATAAGGAGTTTACATTTTGTACCATTATGGGTTCACAAAAGAAAAACACCTCTGCCATAGCTACCTGTTTTTACAACAGAGCTGTATCTCTCTTGTGTATATATATGTGTGTGTGTGTGTATATATATATACAGTAGTGAACAGATTATCCGGAACAATCGGGACCATCGCTGTTCCGGATAACTGATTTTTCCGGTTTTCTGAATCGATGCAAAAAGCCGTTTTTTTTATTGTTAAACCCAACTAAAAAAAAAAGCACAAATAGTTGGAAATAATCTTTAAAAGAAAAAAACGATGAAGTAATACACTAATGATTATTTCCAAAATGATGGTAAGGTAAACATCTTTTAAAAAAGAAGAAAAATCCTAAAATCGTATGACGAAAAAAAAATTTTTTTTTAAAAATGGCGGGAAAATTTATCGAATTTCGCTCCGATTTTTTTGGTTTTCTGATTTCCGGATAACGGGTTCTGTACTGTATATATTTACATATACTACTTTTTTTCTTGAATTTACTGTGTGAAACTAAATAAAAAGTTATTATTCTTAATTATTGATTAAGTTTTCTTCCTACATATTTAATAAAAATATATAAAAATAGGTAATTTGTAATCACATTTTTTTAATATTTTTTTTATTTGCAGGATTATGATCCCTTTGGTGAACACAAAAAAGGTCAGCGTGTTGCTGATAAAGAAGATGAATACCGTGCTCAGAGGAGGAAATTTATGATCTCACCTGAAAGATCAGATCCTTTTGCTGACGGTTAGTTATCATTCTTAATCATTTATTCAATTTTTATTCAGATTTTTAAAAAGATTCAAGCTCTTGGTAGCCCAATGTTTTTCTATTCTGACCGTGAAGAAAATATTAAATTAATCATACTTAAATCCCTTTCATTAAGTGTTGAAAAATCTAAACCATGTCAAATTTTGAAATTGGTATGCTAATTTTTTCTAGATTTGGTCATTCTTTTATTGTGGTCATGAACATGTCACATTTTCAACTTTTTTTAATTTTCTAGAAAATTTTGAATTTTTATCCACTCTTCCAAACTATACAAAATTGAAAAATCAATAGTTCTTTAAAAATAAAACTTTAATTTGGAATACAGTTTTTCTTCTATAGAAATATTTAGTTAAAAATTATTTCTGTGCAATGTATAAAAACCTAATAAACTGAGTTAGTGTTATTCGCCTTTTAAATCGTAATATTTCATTTTGAAATGTTGTCCATTACCAATCTGTATTTATCCCTCAAATAATTAATCCTTAATTATCCCTAAATATCCTAATTATCCCTGACTTTTATTTGAATTGTGGGCTAAGAGAATTATATGTTTGATTTTTGGAGTTATGATTAAAAAGACTAAAACTTCTCTAAATTCAAGGGAATTGGATATTCAAATTATTTTGAAATATGTTTAATTAATTTTTTAAAGTTGGAATTGTGGTGATGATTTTTTTTTTCTTTGGATTTGTTAAATTTCAGTCTTTGAATCCAATTGTTTTTTCGACTAAGAGTTGTCTATATTAATCGCTTGTAATTTTTAGTCTTCAGAAATCGAAACTTATCTCATTTTATTTTCTAAAATAATTTTTAAAAATTCTTGTGTAATATTTTAATTTGATTCAAAATTGCAATTTATGCTTTTTCATAAAATCTTGCTCTGTTGTAAAATCAGACATAGAAACTAAGGAAATATAATTTGACCTGTAACTTTTTTATTTGCTCATTATTCAGATGCTGTGCTGTCTCTTAACTCACAGTATTGTTAATTAAAAATATAGAAAATTCTGATTTAGGACATAAATCCATTCTTACCCATTAAAAAAGAGCCACCTACACAAGTTAAAGCCCATATAGCCCCAAAGTTAAAGTGTTGATCTATCATTGTGAAGAACAGAGGTTTGACTCTTAGTGGCCCATGAAGCCCAGTCAACTTCAGATCAGTAGGTACCAGCATGTCTGGGAAATAAAGATAATAAGGGCGTAATGGCTGCCAACATTGTGCTATTGGTCAAGATGTAGTAAAACTTGAACCTCCTGGTCCACAGCTGACTGTTGTGAGAATGCTTTGCACAACTTTTTTTTCACACAAATTGAAACTGAAATTTTTTTATTGAAGTTCTATGCTGGCCCTTCTATCAATATCAAGAATCCTGCTTCTTTTCAGACTTAGTTCCCTTCTGCAGAGAAGCTTGTAATTTGCTAAAAGAGTTTCTCTTCATTAGCACATGGGAAAAATTAAAATTTCTCTGTTCTCTTTGTTAATATTTATTAAATTGGCAAATCATTCATTTATCTTCTTTTTGCATCAATCAGACATTAGTCTAGGAGACCACTGGTTATTATTTCAGGATGGTTTAGATATCAATGATTTTGGACGACCATTAATTTCAAATCCTGTAATATAAAAATTTCTATTTTCTTGTGAAGAAGCAATTTTAATCTTACTATTCATGTGTTGGCTTATAAACTTAAACATTTGGCTGCCATTAGATAGTTAGAATGAATGACTGTGTGTGAATGGAAATATATTCTCTTAATTTTTTATTCTCTTTGAGTGGAAGAATTTATTAATTATCTTTCATGATCCCCACGACAATTATATATGTTTGAAAGGCTCATGCGTAAGACAGCACTGATAACTTGTGTATGTTTAAAACGTTCAAGATGGTTTAGTAACATAATGTTTTTTCAGGTTAAACTGGGAGGTGGCACAGAATGTGGAAGAAATTACAGTTTTTGAATATCAAGTTCTGTCTGTTTTTTCACATTTCATGTTCTTATGATCTAGTTTTAATGAGCGCTGTTTTTTTATTCCAGGTACTGCACTAGGAAATCACTTACTTTTATGTAGTGGAAATTTGCTGTTTGCAAAGGAAATTTTAGTGCCTCTTGAAAGAGTGTTACTACCTATTTAAAAAAAATAATATTTAAAATTTCAAAAAAAGAGGTTGAAAGGCTTTAAATGCCCCTACCCTTTATCAGTTAATTGTTCTAAGCAAATCTTTTTCTCACTATATTATAAACAAAAGTATAACAAAATTATCCTTTATAAAATTGGTTTGGAGTTATTAATATTAGAAAGATCAAAATAGTACCCAAGTTTTAATATTTATGATATATATTCTAAATAGTTCAAAATTGTAAAAACTTACTCATTCAAGAGTTGAAATCCTTATCGAGGCTTACAGAAATGTCCTGAACTAGTCAAGGGAATAGGTTATCAAATATGTCAATTGAAGTTTTTTAATTTCCTATTATATAATCATCATAGTTATCCAAAATATTTTCAAGGTGTTGCACTATGGCACAATGAAACTAAAGCCTTTTTTATAAACGTAACTATATTGCAATTCCATTAAGGCAAACTTTACTAAATCTCATTTAAATCGTCAAAATTAATGTACCCATAACTCTACAGCAATTGCTTCTAGCATTTTTAGCAATTCGAGTTTTTTAGAATATTTCCCTTCAGTTTAAACAAAACCTAAACATTTATGTTTTATTATTTAATGTTAGATTTGTATTCATATTGAAAAAGTTTTACAATTGTTGATCGCCTTAGTTATTGCTTCATAAATAACTGGAACAGGTTTTAATTTTCTTTAAAATATCTACCTGTTGTAAACTTAAGTCTTTTAACATCTGAGAAAAATCTAAGCAACCTTTCTTTTATTTACTACAGTTAAAACTCTCATTTAATTATGTAGTTTTGCTTAGAAATTTATGTGTAATATCAGTTTATAATAAGTTATTGATTATAGAGGTTGTTGCATGGTATCAGGTGCTTTTTATTAAATTTAAGATGGGTACTTAAATTAGGTAGTTATTTGATTTGCTTAAGAAGCCTTTTCAAAAAAGATTACTATTGTTGAGCTTAAAATTGTTCATAAAATAAATGAACAGGGTATAAACTTCTTCTTTTTTTTCTTTTTTTTTTTTGAAATTGAACTAAACACTGCTGTTTAATATGCAAATATATATATATATATATATTTCAAAAACTTGAGGAAAATGCAACAGCCTTTTTCTATTTCTTTATTGACACAAAAATTCTTACTGGTATATTTCATGCAGATTAAGCTTTACATTGCTTTATTTTACAAAAGTGAAAAGCTAGAAAAATATTTTCAATCAAAGAACATTTTGAGAATTTTGTTTTTCCATTTGTTAAAGTTACTATCACTTCTGAAGTTGAAATATTTTCTCTTTCAAAAAAAAAAAATGTGGTCTTCTCCTCTTTCCAATTTACATTAAAAATGCTATATATTTTAATGCACAACAATTTTTTTTTACTATTTTTAACCTTCTCTTGGTCAGTTTTTATTTTATTTACTCTAAATTTTAAATCCAAACTAAATACTTTTTAATAATTAAACTGGGTATTAAATTTTTTATTCTTCCCTTGACTTCTGTCCTATTGTTGGCATATTTATTACATTTTGTTCAATAATCCCCAGTTTTAATTACAAAAAAAAAAAAAAAAAATGAATGAAAAAGTTTAACATTTATGAAATACTACCTAACCTTTATTAAATCTATTGCTTTGAGGAATTTAAATGTGTTGCTTACTTTCTAAGAATCGTGGGAAATATGTTATATACAGTTTAAGAAAATGGTTTTATAGTCTTACTCTTAACTATCAGAAAGCTAAACTCCTAGTATAATAGTTTATTATGGATTGCTGTTTACATAAAATCATTTTATTAGAGATTCTCCGGAGTTGAAGAATTATTTATAAAATGATTTATTTTTTGAGTCTGCTAGACCATAATTTCTTTATTTTTATTAAAAGTTCAAGTAAATTTATGTGATATTAATTTTAAAAATGAAATATGTTTTCAAGTAATTTTCGTTCGTGAAAATTTTATAGTTATTTAAACGGAAAATTTTACTGGCAAAGTGGTGAAAGAAAGACAATTTACTTCATTTAAAACAATTTACTATAGATATTTTAACTACTTTGTCTGAAGGTTTTTTATGTTTAAAAATGTGTTCCAAAAGTTTCCTATTTCATTTGGAGGTTTCCTGATATAGTTAACATTTTCATGATTTTCATTCTGAAATGTTAACAACTAAATTTCTGCCCATCTCAATCTCTGAATCCACATTTTGAAATGCAGTAACAAATAAAAGTAAAATTTCTAAACAAAATGATTGCTTTTATTAAATCTGAAATTTCTGAGAAAACTAGAATTTAACTTTCAATATATAATGTAAATAAAACAAGGCAAGTAAGAAGAAGAAAAATTGCATAATTCTTTTTTTTTTTTTTTTTTTTTNTTTTTTTTTTTTTTTTTTTCGTGTCATAACATTGTTGATTATATTAACACTGACCAAGAAAAGATCTTTTTTTTTTTTTTTTTTTTTTTTTTTTTTTTTTTTTTTTTTTTTTTTTTTGAAAATAAATTTCATTGCAATTATCCTAATTAAAGCTACCATTTTACCAAACTTGGTTATCTTTAAGTGGATTATTGAAAAATAATTTGTAAAATTTTTTTAACTACATTTAAAATTTACGAAACTTTTATTAGCATTGCATACAATTTTTTGTAAGACTGATAAATCTTCACTCTATATAAGTTAGTTTTTCCTTACCAATATTATTTAACACACACTTGTGTCACAATATTTCTATTTTTAAAAACCCTTACTATAACTCTTTGGAATGTATGGAGTGTGAAAGAAAACTGCATTTGAGCAAAAATTACTAATCATGAAGAATATTTATAGGCCCTTCTGATGACGAGATTCCAGGCAAAGAACTGCCGTTCTGGGAAGTCATGCACGTACGTACCAAGTAGCTGAAAAAGCTGGCATGAGAACACTGCTTTTTATATTTTATATATTTCGCTAATTAATTTTATACTTTCAAAGAAAAAAACATTTTTCATGCTATCAGTTGCACAATTATGTAGAAAGTTTTTTTTTCAATGTATTTATTATTTGGATTTAATGTAAACAATCTTAAGGTGATTATTATGCTTGCTTTATCAATATTTTTTTAGGTACTTAAAGATTATATATAGTTTGGAATTTTGAGGCATTGGAGTCATATTTGAATTCTAATCAATAGTGCTAGCAAATAATTCAAATTAATAATGATTCTTAATATTTCAGAAAATGTTAGTTACATGAATCCAGGTTTCGTAGTTGCCCTGATTTTTAACTTTATCCTGATATTTCTGGTGTTTACTTTTATTCAGAACATCCCATTTTTCTAAAAATATAAATACAGAAATAGATTTAAAGAATCCAAAAATTAAGATTTTTAATCCAATATTTTAATTAATTACGCTAGTAGAGACTGTAGAAAACGATGGTTCCCATTTAATGACTGTCTATAATTATATACAATTGTTTTACAATTAGTATCACATGAATTGTTTCAACTTGGTGCAGTTTTTAAACTACACTTTTTATAACAATTGAGGCGTTAGCAATAGATTCAGCCATGTGCTTTTCTATTATTTTTACAGAATTCAGTAATTTTAGTAAAAAATTGCTAAATGGAAGTTGTAACTTATGGGAAAACTCAGTCTTAAAAATATGATGGCAAATTTGCATCATTGTGCTACTTCAGTATTTTTTGTTCTTGTTAGGTCACAAGCCTAAATATTCTGACCATGTGAAATTAGATCAGTAACAGATGAGACAAAATGTTTAATTTAAGTACTATTTTTAGTAATCTTTTCATTCATTTTCTATTGGGTCTTAAAAGTTATGCTATATCTAATTTCATATAATTTTGTTTAAAATTCAAATTTCTTAAAGTTTATAATATCTTGTTATTTTTAAATTCTAATTTTGTTAGCTGTTTATTGATAATAAATAATATCTTATAGTGAAATCTAATATTCTAAAATACAGTTAAGAGTGTACTTCACTTGCCTCAGATCTCAGACTCTATAAATCTTTTTGATAGTTGGGATCATATTTATTGATCATTACCAGTGTTCTCCCAGCTTTTGAGTTGTTTTTTGAGCATACTCACACAATTGAATAATAGGTTATTTCTAAATATCCAGCCTGATCAGAAGAAGGTATGCAGAAATTAGATGGAAATAGTTTCAGTTGTGTGACTATGCTTTACTTGAATATGAGTTTCAGTAGATCCTGTTTTAAAATATACTTTGCATGTGTTTTGCAGGTGGGAAGACTCCTGATGCGCAATCTAGAACCTACCAAGTTATTATGAGAGAGCAAGCTCTCAACAAAGATCAGGTAATCCTAATTTGATATTAAATCCATTTTATTATTATTTTAGATGAAATCGATTTATCTCTAGAATACTACTAATATTAATTGAATCATTAGCAGATATTGAAAATATATCGATATGATTTCTCAAATGTGTTATGTTTTTATATAATTATTATAAGAAACATGTGAAATATAAGTAATTAATAGAGTTTAAATCTTTTGAAGGAAATATTAAATCAATTTTCTTATTTTTTAATACATTAAGATTAAATGCTAAGGATTTTATTTTAAATATAGTGTATTTATATCTTTCCAATATGGTATATTTATGTCTTTCCAAAAAAGTGTATCAAATTGAAAGTAAAGTACAGTGTGTAATGCTTATTACAATCAGTTGTTCTAAAGGCATTTGATTTTATAAAGCAAATGACTCGTTCTAAAGGCATTTGATTTTATAAAGCAAGTGACTCGTTCTAAAGGCATTTGATTTTATAAAGCAAATGACTCAATAAACCAGCATATTTTCCCTTAAGGAGACAAAAAAAAAAAAAAAAAAAAAAAAAAAAAAAAANGAATATGACTATCTTCATTTTACAAATATTTTTATTCATTTATACAATGCTTCTACCCACACATTTTTGTCAAAAATTGATGAAAATATTTCATAAAACTGAAATTCTTCATCAAGGTAAATTGCATTAATTTACTGTTATTTTATATGCCTGAAACAACTGTTAAACCTGGCTAAAAGTATCTAGTGGTATTAACTTTGAGAATCCTGAAGTATATATTAATATGATGTTGGTCCTCCTTTTGCAATGACAAACTGCGTGTGTCTAGGGAGTCTTTGCCCAAGTTATGTGGCCACAGGAATTGATTAAAGTAAGTAATGGCTGTGACGAAGTTGGATTCAGTTGGCTACTTAAACACCAGCTATGTAATACCATACCAGAAATATTGCCATAATTTGGAGAGCAGCATTGTGCAGAATGTCCGCATATTTCATTGTTCATGTTCCCAACCACAGGAACTAAAGAGCCTAGACCGAACCATTTATTTTAATATCAATGTAACTTATTCTTTGAAGTAGCAAATAATCTCTAGTATGTAAGTGACCCCATTGCCCAAGTACTTGTTGAACCATAACTAGTTTCTGCAGTTTTTAAACCATAGATAACACCCCCACTTCATGTTGCTTTTAGATAAGTGTCTGGGTGCTTTTGACCAAATAGTACAAATTCAGTGCTGAATGCATTTTTGCAACTATTTCTGTGTCATGTCACTAGTCATTTTTCATAAAAACTACATTACAAAGACTATGTCTTCTATTTTTTAAAGCATTGAATATTTTTGGTGCATCATCATAGAAGATTTTGCCTTTACAAGGTATTTGTCCATCTTACATTAACACATAAAAAGTTTGAACCTCTTACATGAAGAAACCTAACCTACGGTAAACATGTGGTTGCAGAGAAATGTGTTCTGAAAGGGGTTCTGTGGTTGTGTTCTGTTGTTCGAAAAGGGTTTGAACAATACTGGTAAATAGGGAAGCCAGATAAGGGGGCAGATGTTGAAAATAATGAAAGATCCAGGAAAAGTGAAACAGATTTTATTCTAAATGGTATAATTCTAAGCTTTTTTTCGAAAATGTCAGATAAGGGGGCAGATGTTGAAAATAATGAAAGATCCAGGAAAAGTGAAACGGATTTTATTCTAAATGGCATAATTCTAAGCGTTTTTCGAAAATGCGAGAAATTCGCGAATTTTTAAATTGATTTATAGAATGCGCGAATTTCTCGCGGTAATCATTTTTTAATGCGAGAAAACAAAAAAATATGCGAGATTCTCGCGTTCTCGCACTGTAGTGAAAACACTGCCTTATAATTTTTCACTTCTTGACATAACATATTTTTATAAATTTATTTATTTATTTAATTTAGGTGGAATTAAGAAAGAAAATTTCAGAAAAATCAAAGTCTGGAGAGCTTAAGTCTGTTCAAAATGGTGATGTTTCTGCAAAACCAGGTATGCATTTATTTGAAATTCCTTTTCTTTCCATGGTGATGTTAAAATTAATTTCTTTTCTTTTTCTCATTCACTACACTTTTTTAAATTGTTTGGTGTCAAAATCATTTTACTCCAAGAGCGAACATTTTTTTTTTATAATTTTCTGAAAATTTTTATAAAAAAAAACATTTTTATGTTAAATATTTCCAATTATGTTGGTTGATACTAGTGAACAATTGAGCAGGTTGATACTAGTTAGTTTTGATTCATAAATATGATAGTTAAAAGAAAAAGGAAAGAATTAACAAGTAGTGGTATCTGCCTTATTTTGTGGTTGGATTATATTTTTTCTAAATTAAATAGCTACAAAAATATTAATCAAATCTTTGTTAAGGGATTTAACTTTGACCATACCTTTGATTTTTTTTTTTTTTTTTTAATAATGAATATTATAATTCTGCATTTAGTGCAAAAGTAGAAAAAAGGGAGTTTGCATTGAGGCTGTTTTTTAATAAATTCACAACTATAAAAAACATAAGAATTAAAAAAGTATCACTACAAAAAAATAAGGGGGAGGAATTAACATACTGGTAAGGAAATTCAGCATTGAAATAAAAATAGTAAATATTTCTCTGTATTGAAATTTTTTCACCTTAATTATCTAAGCTAATTTATCTAGCAATTTAATGACATAAGTTTTATTTTATTGCATTTTATACATTATTTATCAGTGTAAAATATGTAACTGTTGTAAATGTTGATATTTTAAAACAATTTTTACATTTTTTAGCAAAACGTAGAAGATGGGATCAAACTGTTGGTGAGGAAACACCATCCTCAACTCCTTCATCCAAGAAAAAAGCTACGAGTTGGGATGCTGCAGAAGTGAGTATTTATTTTTTATTATGGTATTAAATCAATGTCTTTTTTTTTAAAAAAAAAAAAGAGATGTGCAAACCTTCTATCACATCTTCTAATCCAGGTAGCTACCTAAAAAATTAACTTCATTATAAAACTAGAAAATTTACCATAACTGCTGCAAATCATTATACCATTGTAGATTTTAAATATTAAATTTTGAGCATTGCTTTCAATTTTGAAGATTTATTTTTTGAGTATTTAGACTTCTATTAAATTTAATGCAATTTGTTTCAGTCACATACACCGTCTAACAGCCGATGGGATGAAACTCCGGGAAGAATTCCCAAAGGGTCAGAAACACCTGGAGCTACACCAGGACAAAGTACTAGGCTATGGGATGCCACCCCTGCACACGCCACTCCTGGTGCTGCCACTCCAGGCCACGACACTCCTGGTCATAGAGGTACACCCAGTGCTCGTCGAAACAGATGGGATGAGACACCAAAGACAGACAGAGGTATTTTAAGAGTTGTAAATTAGTTTTATTTTTAGATTTAATTCATTCTCATTATGAACATAACACTTAACATGAACACTACAAAGTATATTATAATTTTGTGGTTAAACGCCTTATATGACCTCTTAGCTCGGGGTATATATATAGCTGTGATGGCTTGGAATTGACCGATAGACCGGAATTTACTACGAGTGCATACGCTATACAAGTCTCTTACTCCTCTTTTACATGAAGAGTATTCTTAATCAATTGGTGATATTTGAAACCAAAACATACAACTTACTCGTGTATGCTTAGTGCTTCACTTTTTTGCATCTTTGTTTCCTAACAATCCATCTCAATCAATGACGAATTATAGTGAACTTCATCTCACACTATATTTCTTTGTCACACTATATTTCTTTGCCATTTGTCACACTAAATTGCTTTGTCACTTGTCACACTATATTGATTTGTTATTTTTATTGAAAAAGCAAAATTCATTTTTCTAATAACAAGTCTACACTAGAGATTTCAGGTGTGGATTTACGAATACTCTTAGCTTTTTAAAGCTGGGTATATGCTTCAGCTGAAAGGGCTAATATCCCCCTAACAGCTTTCCAATTGGCTGTTCAACTTGAAGTATAATATTATGAGTTTCCTTTATTCTTCATCTAAATGGGGATGTTCGCTTTTTTTTCGGTTTTTTTATGCAAACAATTTTTTAGTGTTTGGAACAATTTTCAAAAGCTAGTCCTTTGTAAGTCTCAATTTATGATTTACCATATTTAATTGCAATAATTATTTATTATAAAATGATTTTTTTTATGTGTGATGATGTTTAAATATATCCCATTTTCTAGAAACCCCTGCTCATGGAAGTGGTTGGGCAGAAACTCCTCGCACTGACAGAACAGGAACTGACCTCATTCAAGAAACTCCCACACCCAGTGCCAGCAAACGTAGGTCACGTTGGGATGAAACTCCTTCTTCACAGTTGGGCAATCAAACTCCACAGACACCCTCCATGATGACTCCTATGACACCCATGACCCCTATGACTCCCATTACACCAAGTGGTATCACACCTACTGGTAGTAAAGCTATGGGCATGGCAACACCTACACCAGGTATGTATATATTCTATAGCGAATTATGATGCATATAGTGTTTATGTTTCTCTGTCTTAATATTTGGATGCAAGTAATTTGATTAGTTGGCCATTTATTCTTGATTTTTAAATTACGCCATCAAGTATACAGAGCTCTATTAATTCACATTTTGTTATTTTAGCAAACAATCTTATTTTAAAAATATATCTGCAAAAAGATTCAGTCACTCAGTTTCATATACAAAATTCTTCCCAAAACATTGTCTAGCATATTTGCTTTACATAATATTAAACACTTATGTAAGAAATATATATTATTTTAATATTTTTATGTATAATATGAAAGAGAGTCCCAATTGTCTGAGTTAATGTGAACTGCGATTAACTCAGGTAACAGAAAAACCCGGTTAAAGCGAAGATTATAAAAAAGGAAAGAAAAAGAATAGGTATAAATATAATGTATTTAACAAATGTAAAATTTATACGAGTACACCATGTACTATTCATATTATAATTAAAAAGCTTGCTTAAAAACACTTAAAGAACATACTTTATGAGAATTAGAGTTTTTACTTTAAAAAAAGTCCTTAATCAATTTTTTTTTTTTTTTTTTAATGTTTGGCGCTTTTTGGCAGCAATGTTCTGCCATTTTTTTAGGGATAACGGGAAGGCTGATGTCGCCTCTTTTTGTTGTTCTATATATTCAATACCATTTTCGATAGTTTTGAGTCCATGTGTATGAGAGATTTTTATATGTTCATTTTCATTATTGACGATATTAACAATTATTTCATCCGATCGAGTTGTTGGATTTTGTTTACCTGAGTGTTTAAAAGATAAAATTCAGATTTTTTTTTTTTACAATAGTTTTAAAAATAAAAAATAAACTGGAACAAGAAGCTCCTTAAAATATTTGATAGCTTTATTAAAGTGGAAACTTGGATAATTTGGGCTTGGATAATCTGGACACTACTGTAATTAACAATTTATTATCATAATGTTAAAATTATTTTATAGGACATATAATGGCAATGACACCTGAACAGTTACAAGCTTACAGGTGGGAGAGAGAAATAGATGAACGAAACAGACCTTTAACCGATGATGAGCTGGAAACAATGTTTCCTCCTGGGTACAAAGTTCTTCAACCACCAGCTGGCTATGTACCCATTCGCACACCCGCACGTAAACTGACCTCTACGCCCACACCCCTTGGGGGTCAGTCTGGATTCTTTTTCCAGAAAGAAGATCCAGTGAAAATGATGGACACACAACCAAAAGGAAATTTGCCTCCTCTGAAACCAGAAGATATACAGTACTTTGATAAACTTTTGGTAAGTTTTGTAATCTGAATCATTAGTAGAAAACACAATTTGATTGCATTTAAGTTCATTTAAAATATTTTAAAATTTAATGTTACTGGTTTTGGTGATGGTGCACATGCAGTGAATGAATAAAAAAGAAAAATCGAACGAGATATACAGTTTTTTTTTTTTTTTTTTAAACTTATAAAAGCTTTTTGGTTTTGTTTTAAAGCCTTCTAAAGTTTGTTTCATTCCAGTGTATTGCTTGCATTTCTAATTTTTTTCAGTATTTTAAATAATATTCATGAAAATAGTTCATTATTTAAAAAGAAATAGCCTAAGTGACATTAATAAAATAACTCTCCATTTTATTTTAAATTTAATTAAAGGTTTACTATCTTATAAAATTTTAAAAAATGAGAAATATCAAAGAAATTGTAATAATGGATAAAAGTTTAAATTATTATTTTATTAATTAAACTTTTTAGTTCTCGCTTCACCTCCTAAGCACAACAATTCTGATACACAGGAAATTTACTTAATGCATTCTGGCTTCAGAAAGCCTGTTAATGTTTTCACTTTATTAACTGTCCATACTTTATTGCTTAATGATTTTTTTCCCTTCTGTTTTTGAATTTATTCAACGTATTTTAACTATAAAAAATATTTAATATAATTGTTTCATTTATTCAAAAAAAAGTTTAAAAGGGGTTGCTACTTTAGTTTTATGTAATACATTCGGACTTCTTTTTAACTAACTTCCATTTTGCAAATTTCTCTATTTTGCTAATTTTTCGAGGAACCAAGAATATTTGGGATATTTCTTCGTAAAATAACTTCCAAATAGCGAAGTGAATTTTCTATTTAACGAAATTTTCTTTGAGATTCACTTTCCCGATTTCCCAAAATATTTCGGAACATTTTAAACATGATAACGCATTTTATGGGGGAAATTATCTAGAATTGATTTTCGAAGCCACTTAACTTTTAAAGAAAGCAGTAAAATCCCTTTCCCTTTTTGTTTGCATTTCAAAGGAAAAACTCAGACAAAATTAACGGATTTTATCAGTAGCAATTAAACTTAAGAGCGCATGTTGTAATGTATGTTTAAAATTACTTTAGCTGTAATTTTATACATAAATTTAGCTTTTTTACTTGCAAATGTATGTAGCATGGTAGTGTAATACTGGATAATGTTTAGCTCTATTCTTGCGTTTTATGCAGATTTCTTTTGTGGCTAAGATTTATAAAATAAATAGTAGATACTAGTTTACAAGATAAAGGTGTGGCGACTGTTATTTTAATTATGTCTAGTGTTTATGAATTTAAAACCTGTTTTGTGTTTGAGTATTTTAAAAGGTGATTTCCTATTTAACGAATTTTCCATATAACGAACTTATTATCGGGATTAAGCGACTTTGTTAAATAGAGGTCCAACTGTATTTCTTTTTTTAAAATTCTATCGTCTTTTTCATCGTCTAATAGCATATATATCTCAGAATGAAGATAGAAAAAAGGGGACAACATTCATTCCAACATTATTTTTTAGTGTTGCTTACCTTATTCCCAAAATTTGTTCTCATCTTTTTATATTTTGACCAAATTAAAATTATATGTTCCAATTAATTATATTCAATGTTTAAATATAATTTAGAACATTTTTTTTAATGTTTTTTTTTTTACACATCAATATGCTCTTTACCAGTAATTAGTTTTCTTGACCTAAACTTTTATGTTTAATAGTAGTTGTATTTTGGTATTGAGTTTAATAATTAGAGTGCCCTTGTGTTTATTAAATTTATTATAACTTTGATAAATATGACATTATGACAAAATTTCTGTAATAATTTATCAGCTTTCTATAATAGTAGAGTAGTGTTCATATTGAAAAACTAAACCTTGATTCATTTCAATAACTTTCATTTATCTTGATATTCAATAGGCTGATGTAGATGAAGAATCTCTGAGCCCTGATGAACAAAAAGAGCGCAAAATTATGAAACTACTCTTGAAGATTAAGAATGGCACTCCACCCATGAGGAAAGCAGCCCTCCGACAGATTACGGACAAGGCCAGAGAATTTGGTGCAGGCCCTCTATTCAATCAAATACTTCCACTTCTTATGTCACCGACCTTGGAGGATCAAGAGCGCCATCTTCTGGTGAAAGTCATAGACAGAATTCTGTACAAATTGGATGATTTAGTGAGACCCTATGTACACAAGGTTTGTGTTTGTCTTTAAAAAGATCTCTTTTAATAACCTTTTTTTTTAGAAGGCTATATAAAAATAGTCTAAAAACTGAAAATTTCCTTCAAAAATATTTCTTTATGTTATAAAATTATTATGGGTTCTCTAAGATTGCTTTTGTCTGTTAAATCCTTTAAAATTGGTTAGTTCTTATGTTTGTAGAATATTCTATTTTTAGTTCTTAATTTTAAATCATGCAGATTTCTGGTTTCTTAAAATATTCTTCTTGTAGTAGAATTATTGCTGCAGTTGAAATTTTAACTATATCTAAATCAGAAGTTTTTCTTTTCATATTAATCTGAACCCTGATTCAGTATTAAACTATTTTATTTGGTTGTATTTGTATATATTTTTTTAATTTGTATTCTTCTTTTTCCATTTTCAGATACTTGTAGTTATTGAGCCTCTGTTGATTGATGAAGATTATTATGCTCGTGTTGAAGGAAGAGAAATTATTTCTAATTTAGCCAAGGTATATTTAGTTTTTTTTTTTTTCCTGTTTAAATTTAAAAATTTATATCCAATTTGTTGTATTAAATTTATTTATTATTTTTTCAGGCTGCTGGATTAGCTACAATGATTTCCACAATGAGGCCAGATATAGACAACATAGATGAGTATGTTAGAAACACAACTGCCAGAGCTTTTGCTGTAGTAGCTTCTGCTCTAGGTATACCTGCACTTTTACCCTTCTTGAAAGCTGTATGTCGCAGTAAGAAGTCATGGCAAGCCAGGCATACTGGTATTAAAATTGTACAACAGATAGCCATTCTAATGGGTTGCGCTATTCTACCACATCTGAGAAATCTTGTAGAAATTATTGAACATGGTAATGCTTCTTCTTACATTTGTATAATATGAATGTTTTTTTTTTTTCTGCTAGGGTTTAAACTAAGTTTAAAAGTTATTTAGCAAAATGCCATGAGACTTATGAGTGTTTGTATATATGTTTTTATTTTGGACAATGATACTAAAATATGGAATAAATCCCTGTACAGTTAAGCCTGAAATCAAATAACAGAAGAAGAAAAAGATCTTTAATTTTTCATTAATGCACTCTTCTCTCAATTAAGCTTTTTAATTTATTAGGTACAAAGTTAGAGATGTATTAAAAAGGAATCTCTGCTATTTTCCATCCTGTGTTTATTTTATTTTCGCAATTAGTAAGCATCAAAATTCTTTTTTGTGCCATTTAAAAATCAAATGTTACAATTTGTATTCACGCTTTTCTATAACCTAATATCTCTATTTATATTCATGCATTTTTAAAATCCAATTCGTATTCACATGGTTGTAATATCAAACATCAATTTTTGTATTTATATGTAATTCAATAACTATGTGTTGCGATTCGTATTCATGCAATCTAAAAATTATGCTTTGTTATTTTCTCATTTTTTAAAATTCAATATCGCAAATCATATTCATGCAATTTAAAAATCCATCATGATTCTTGTAAAGGGTAAGTTTTTTCTTGAGTTAGTTACTAGAGATTAGATTATATTCTTCATTAGTAAGTAATTTAATTAAAACTTAGTTCAAAAAATTATGTTAAATATGAAATATGTATGGTTAATAAATTGATATTTTGTTTTTAACTTTGTGTCATAATTACCTCTGATTGGCTTATCATGCTTTGTGTTCCTATTTTTGTTTTTAACTTGTTTGCTGCTGCATATATGTATATACCAGGAATGAGATTTTTCCGCTTTTTAGCGTAGTTCCGTTTTTTTTCACTTTTATCTCTTAAATTTCAGCTTTTCTATCAAAAATTCAGATTTTCTAAAAATTTCATTTTATTTACAAGTATTCCGCTTTTTCAGAAAATTCACCGATTTTCAAAGAGAAGCAGAAAAATCAAACAACATAGCTACCAATCCTTTCTCATTTTTACTTATTTTAGCTATTTTCTCCCCTTTTACACGCAGCAGATAAGATTTTTCGAATTTTTTACCCGCNTTTAACTTTGTGTCATAATTACCTCTGATTGGCTTATCATGCTTTGTGTTCCTATTTTTGTTTTTAACTTGTTTGCTGCTGCATATATGTATATACATATTATAATATTTTTGCCTAAAATTTATCAGTCTTTTATTTTGTTGTATTCATTTTAAAATAGTTCTTTTTATTCAACCCTAAAGTGTAATTTAAAAATATTAACATCTGATCAAGTTAAGAATTGTAATAAAAAAAAATATTATTTTTAAATAATTTTACATATTGTTGATTATTTAATTTTATCAGATGGCTAAAAAATTTTGCATATTGTCTCCATAAATTATTGTGTATAGAATCATTGCAAATAAAAATGGGGAGAAAATCAATTTTGGGAATATTTAATTGATTTGAAGGTTATCCTGGAATAAGATTATGTTATTAACTAATATCTTAAAATATTTGTTATTTAAATTTTTTTTTCTCTCGATTTATTCATTTTATAACACTTACTAAACTTTAATTTTTAAGATTTTAAGCATATTTAACTTTTTCTTAAAACTACTAAATTATAAGTGGTACATTTTTACAAAATTTAAAAAATACTTATTAAAATTTGGTCTCTAAGCTCCCATAAACACATTCAAATGAATAAATGAAGTAAAAATTATTATAAAGTACCTATTATTATTTCAATAAAAATGTTTTGACTATTAATGAATATGGGATTGATGCTTTTATAATTCTCAATAGAAACAAGAAGTAAAATCAAATATTATTTCAATAAAAAATTTTGTGTACTAATTTTTTTTAAACCAAAAAAAAAAATTTTTTTTTTAATATTTATTTCTTAAAATCTCAAATTTGCAGCATAACCAGTATAGATTCTTTATTTATTTACTTTTAAAAAATTGTTTAAGATCTATTAAATTATAGAGAAGAAGTTGGCAGTCAGTGTTACCCTGCTTATATTCTGATACCATATCTATATTACAATACTGTAAAATAAAAAATGCTATCCCAAAAACTATTGATATAACAATAATAAGCATTTATTAGAATAATTTTATTTTTCTAACTAGAATAGTATCAATGCTTACAAAATATTCATCTATTTTAATGATGAAAGTGCTGGTTTGAATTTAGAATTGCTTTATAAATAATTAGTATTAATTTACTTTTTCTTTTAAAGGTTTGGTTGATGAACAACAAAAAGTACGAACTATTACTGCGTTGGCGCTGGCCGCTTTGGCTGAAGCAGCTACCCCATATGGTATTGAGTCCTTTGATAGTGTGTTGAAACCTTTATGGAAAGGTATCCGAACTCATCGTGGTAAAGTGAGTGCATCATTTTAAATACTATTAGTATTCAATAGTAACATTCATTTATTTAAAAAATTATATTATCTGATGACAAAAATTTTGTTTGAATATCAAAAAAAATTTCAAATTTTTTTTTTGCAAACATTATAATTATAGAATTTTTTGAACTAAACGTGTAGTTACCAACCAATATAAAATTGATAGTCATTAGATGCTCTTAGTTCATTTCAATTTTTTGATGCATAGGAAACATGAAATAGAATGTTGAAAAATTTGCTCCATTTTTGCATCTAAATGTTGCCTACAGAAAAGCTGACTTTATTAAGCCAATAAAGAAAATGATTAAGGAGCTAGGAAGACTATCACTTTGTAATTAAAATAAATTTGAAAAGTTACAGATATTGCTCTCGTAAATTGATTATTAGTTTCTTAAAACATTACAAGCATCGCAAAAGCTACATCATTTAGATTTAAGTTATAATAATAACATTTTATTAGAAAATAAGTATTGGGTTTTTAATTTAGTGCATTGAACATCACTTTGTAATCTGGTTTCTAACTTCATTTCACTGTTTCTTTTTTTCCTTTTTAGGGTTTAGCTGCTTTTTTGAAAGCTATTGGTTACCTGATACCTCTTATGGATGCAGAATATGCTAATTACTATACCAGAGAAGTGATGTTGATTCTTATTCGAGAATTTCAATCTCCTGATGAAGAAATGAAAAAAATTGTGTTAAAAGTTAGTCATTTTTTTAAAATATATATTAATAGTAGAGCTCCGATTATCAGACTGCAGAATTGGGTGGCAAAGAATAAGTCGAAAAAAGTCTAAAAGTAAGGTGAAAATAAAATTAATAATTTTAACATGTATCCATACATGTTTATGTATTTTAAAATACAGAAATATTTATTCTATATCTAAATCTCGGTAACAATGAATATTAAGGAATAAATTAGTTCATACTTCATAAAAATGTTATGAATAGTTGATCTTGTGCAATATATTTTTAGATCTCTCATGTGGATAATTTGCACAGCGAATTATCTGCTCACAGTTAATCTGGTCTCTACTGTATATAGTAACCATTTTAGAGAAAAATTTTATATTAATGTTAGAATGGACCGTTGGATATATACACTCTCTAATCAGTCAAGTATTTTTATTTTATTAATATTGTTATTGCTTTTATTATTATTATTAGCCTCTTAACAGCTACTTAACTTAGTGATTTAACATGTGATTCGGACCTTAAAAAAATATTTTGCACTAATTAAATCAAAGCATCACTATTATATACAGTTTTTGGCTTAGGTAGTTTAAATTCTTTAATGCATTATTTGCTAGTCTTTTTAATTTTTTTCCTCTCACACTCTCTTTTGATTTTAAATAAATAGTTTATAAAAATATCTAACTACCTTAGCTGTTTCAAAATGCTTATTTTGGGACAAAATTGCTTTAATATATTTAAATTATTCAAAATTGAGCAAACATATTTAGAATAATTTGTCAAATGACTAATGAAAGCCTAATGCTTTCGCAGTAAGTTTGCATTAGACTGTTGGATAATTAATACAGCGAAACCTCCAAGAAAGACCACCTCTATTTACGACCACTTTTGGGAGGCACAGAATTTTTCCGTTGACTTTGTGTTGAAAAAAACCTTTAAGAGAAACCATTAAAACCTCTCCCAGCTACCACGCGAGTATCTGCACAAAATGCAGAAAAAGTCATATAAAGAACACAAAATAATACCAAAACAAATACGTAGATTAATGTATTCATAGTATTTGTGTGATGCTCTTATTTAGAGAACTCTTTTTAACAGTGCAAACTCATGGTGCAATCAGAGTGCACTAAAGACAATGCTATCAGTGATTTACATTTAGAGTTGAAGGTGAAATTGAAAAGAAAACAAGCATTTCAAACAAACAAACCTTTTTATCTTTTAAAGCTAACTAATTTTTTCAATATAAAATTAAATGCAAACTTAAACAAAAAGCATAATTGTTTATTTATTTAAAATTGTTCATCAATAGCTTAGCTATAATTGGTAAATTTGTTTTCACACATAATTATATCAGTTGGGGTCATTTTTATACACTCTAAATTTTATGTGTAAATCTGTCTTTTCATGATGCCAACAAAAGTGGCATTTAAACACCAAGAAAATGACGCTGACTAAAATTAAAATCCTCTGCAAAAAATCATGTACCTTCGATAACAATTTTAAAGTTAGTGGTGGTAATCTCCAAAAACGACCAAACTCAATCAACGACCATTTTACTGTGGAATGGAGAGACCACTCCCGAGAGGTTTTACTGTAATTACTTCATAGTTTATTTTTTAAAAAGAAGTTCTTTAAATCAAAGAACGTTGCACTTCACAATGCTTGTGTGTTATGCCTACAATGAATGTATTTTGAATTCCAGGTAGTAAAACAGTGTTGTGCAACTGATGGTGTAGAGCCACAATACATTAAAGAAGACGTGTTACCTCATTTCTTTAAACACTTTTGGAACCATCGAATGGCTCTGGATAGGAGAAATTATCGACAGGTACCTTTCTTTTTCCCATGCATTTTGATTTCTCAATTCAAATCATTGCAGGTTTGTAACAATTTTTTCTATGTTTTAGTTGGTCGATACAACTGTTGAGATAGCAAATAAAGTGGGCGCAGCTGAAATAATCCACAGAATAGTTGACGATTTGAAGGATGAGAATGAGCAATATCGTAAGATGGTGATGGAGACCATTGAAAAGATCATGGCTAACTTGGGTGCTGCAGATATAGATTCAAGGTTAGAAGAACAGCTCATTGATGGCATTCTGTATGCATTCCAAGAACAAACAACTGAGGTGATCTTTCTCTCCCTTTCTGTTTTTTTTTTTTCATTTCAACTGTATTTTTTAACTATAATTTACTGCTAAATTTTTTGGTGAAAAAGTTATTTTTAAGATTTGTTTCTTTAGGGAGTTTGCCTTTAAAGTAAACAGCGCGATTCCGAAATTTCCGATGTAACTTTTTTTTAGCTCCTGGCTTAGTTCATACTATTGTTGGATTGATTTAAATTGAGAACATAATTTTATTTTTGATGCAGTAAAGCGGAGGCCAGACCTTGTGCTATTAAGCAGCAATACATTTAATACAATCATGTCTTGTATCTTAATTGAACAGCTTTGTACAAGGACAAGATTTATCCAGATACACAAATGGTTGGCGAGAGCCAAATAAAATTTTTAAAAGACTAGGATTGTGTTTCCTCCACGTTGACCACGCAGGAAACTGATGTTACTGTTCTTGTAGGTACTGAAAGAAATAATATCCTGATTCAAAAATACATTAAAACATTTATTTTAAAATTTGGGCTTTCTTTTTTTTTTAATTTCGGAATTGTGTTTAACTAATACAAAATAACTGCTTCTATTAAAAAATTTTATTGAAAAAGGGGAGAAGGTTTGTTGATCATCATTTTGTAATACCCCAATTAAACTTATATCATACTTCCTCTCTGAAAATACCTATTTGCTTATGATTAAAGTGGAATGTAAACTTTTAGAACAATTGTGAAGATGATTTTCAATTTCGTATGTGCCCAAATAATGTCTCTAATTCTTGTAGTTAATTTCGTTAATTAATGAAGTTCTTGTTTATTTACAGGATATGGTAATGTTGAATGGCTTTGGCACTATTGTGAATGCCCTTGGCAAGCGGGTGAAACCCTATCTCCCTCAAATTTGTGGTACCATTCTATGGAGGTTGAATAACAAGTCTGCCAAAGTGCGACAGCAGGCTGCTGATCTCATTTCAAGGATAGCAGTTGTGATGAAAACATGCCAAGAAGAAAAACTAATGGGACATTTAGGTGTTGTGTTATATGAATATTTGGGTGAAGAATATCCAGAAGTATTGGGTTCTATTCTTGGAGCTCTGAAAGCAATTGTCAATGTAATTGGAATGCACAAGATGACTCCTCCTATCAAAGATCTTTTACCAAGATTGACCCCTATCCTTAAGAACAGGTACAAAATTGTTGAGTTGAAATTCCTGATAAATAAGTGCTACCATTGTGGTGAGCTTTTTATCTTCATTATTTAATAAAATGAAATCAGTTTTTTTCCAGAATGTCCCAGGGATCATTCCATGTCAGTTCATCCAGCCATGGCACCCACCGTCTCAGATTTTGATGAAAATTTGTACACTTATAGAGTTTTTTGTGCTAATTTCAAAAATATCAATTATATTTAAATCGGTTAATGGGTTTAAAAGTTATAAGAATTTATACTTTTGCCAAAATGGCTCATTTGCCGCCATTTTGATTCATACATCAAAGGCTATTAATGATTGTTACTCACCTTATATTTGTCATAGAGCAATAATTTTTTTTTTATTTTGTTCAGAATAAAGTAATCTGTCATATAAACACTTTTTTTTGCAAATAAGTATCTTACTTATTTAGTAAATGGGTCTGTTTTGCAGTTTTTTGATCAACGGAGTTGAGTAACTTCAGGAGATTATTTCTGGCAACTCGCCCCCTTCAATTTCAAAAATATTTTATTCAAAGATAGTTGAAAGTGCAAACTAACATCTGATATAAAAATTTTGATGGGCCGTTCACTCACTTTTTAAAAAAAAA